TTCAATTGTTTCAGAATTTGAGGGTTATAGTTAGTTAAGGTAAGGTTAGGCGGTTGTAATAAAAACACTCAAATGGTAAAGAGACACTGTGGACTTAAGGAAGATAGATATTTATTTCCCTCTCTTTTCTATCAGCCTGACACGAACACTCCTGGTTCTGTTCCACCCTGACATTTAGGAACCAGTTTTCTTCCATCATATAGTTATGTCATCCCCTAGGCCTTGTCACTGCCTGCATGCTTCAGGCTGGAGGGCTGTGGATGCCACCTGGTGGAAAGGGAAAGAGTGTGGAAGGTAAGAGGGGCACCCACCGTCTTAAGATTTCAAGTGCTGGCCGGGCACAGTGGCTCACACCTGTAATCCCTGCTACTTGGGAGGCTGAGGCAGGAGAATCACTGGAACCCCAGAGGGGGAGGTCGCAGTGAGCCTAGATCGTGCCATTACACTGCAGCCTGGGCGACAAGAGTGAGACTCTGTCTCAAAGGGAAAAAAAAAAGATTTCAAGTGCCACTTTTCCTTTTACTCAGGTTTTATTGACAAAAACATGGTCATGTGGCCTACCTTACTGCAATGGAGGCGGAGAAATATAGCTACAATTTTGCTTGTTTCGCTTTTTTTTTTTTTTTTTTTTCTGAGATGGAGTCTCGCTCTGTCACCCAGGCTGGAGTGCAGTGGGCTCAATCTTGGCTCACTGCAACCTCTCAACCTCTGGGGTTCAAGTGATTCTGGTGGTCTCAGCCTCCCGAATAGCTGGGAGCTACAGGCACTGGACACCACGCCTGGCTAATTTTTTGTATTTTAGTAGAGACGGGATTTTCACCACGTTGGCCAGGGCGTGTTCTTGAATTCCTGACCTCAGGTGACCGCGCCCACCTCGGCCTCCCAAAGTGCTGGGATTACACGTGATGAGTCACCGCTCCCAGCAATAATTTCATTACGATGAAAGAAGTTGGGTTGGTAGAGAGCAAAAAAATTGCGCCCAATTCTCCACCTCTCCCTGTAGCTGCATCCATAATATGACTTTGCAATTTCTCCCATCAAAGGAGAGTCTATTCTCTACTCCTTGAATCAGTTCTCATCCACCTACTTTGAAATGTCTCCATGGTGGTTTGTCATATAAACAATTCTGTTGTGGGCCAAGGAAATATGGCAGAAGTAATGAATGGCAGATCTAGAGCTGAGCCTAGACCCCAAAGAGTCTTGTAACGCGCTTGTTTGTTCTTTTGCTCCTCTGTCTCATCACAAGACATGAGCTAGGCGCGGTA